GAGATTACTTATCTGAGTTCAGAATGAAGGAAGCTTTTCTAAGCATACAGACACATAAAACCAAAACATTAAAGATTGATAAATTTGACTACATTAAAATTTAAGACTTCTGAAAGTCAAAAAAACACCATAAAAGATTCTGGGAAGATGGTAGTTGCAAAGATGACATAGTTTTTGGTACTTCCTGAATTGCCATGTACCAATAGACAGAGAAACTAGATAGCAATGTCAAAATCATGGCCAACATTAGCAGCAAACCTAGGTGACAGGGTATCCCCACAAATCCCAAAATACAAGTAAATCAGGCCAAACCATCAACACCACAATACCTGTATGGTACTAACGTCTTTGCAGAAGGAAGTTGAAGGAAGCAATGAGGCATCTGACAGATGTAAGAACAGCACACCACAGAATACCAACAGGTATTCATTCACAGACATCACCACTATACACTTCATCCATGTAACCAAAAACCACTTGGAACCCTAAATCTATCGAAATATAAAAAACAAACAAACAAAAAAGGCTTCTTGAAGAAATGGCTAAGAGGTCTGAAACAAAAGATGTAGAGGATGACCCTGGAACATCTTGTTAAACCAGGTGAAAAGGAAGCTGTCAAAGACTACTAAGGTCATGACAAAATAACTGTAGCCAACTGGAAGAGGATCCCACTGACCAAAGATACGACGATAGACTCTCAATAAGATTAACAAATTGTGATGGATTGAAATCTGTCAAATACATTTAAATCCAAGAGTTCATAATAATACTAAGTAACATTTTTAAAAACCAAATTAGTTACTTTTGGAGGTTGATAGGAAATCAATTAATTATCTTAGAAAACTGGCTAATAAAGGAAATAGATTAAGCATTTATTTTTCAGGTCCTGTATGAACTGCATCCTATATGAACTGTACGACTATGGTAACAAAAATTATATTTATGAGACTATTCCAGCCAACAAATGAAAGAGAAATGATAGAACTTGAATATCACCATTTCATAACCCCCAGGGAATTAATGCATCTAGGCATTAAGCATCCACAGCTGCTAACACCACAATACAAGAGACCATCAGACATCCTGTGCCTCTTGATGAAAGAACACTCCCCACCATCTACAGTCTTGCCAAATACATCAAGCCCAGCCGGATCCAGTCTCTACATACAGCTGCCAATTTGCAGAAATGAGATGACATTTTAAACTTCACCACGCATATGCGCTCAACAAAACTCAAATTGTGGGAAGATCTCTACAGATCAAATAGTCTGGTTTCTTCAATAAGTAAATCATTAGGGGGAAAAAAGGGATGGGGTAGGGGACAATATAGAATAAAAGAACCTTAAAAGACTAATATAACCAGGGTTGGCAAGGAAATTGGATTCGTCACACATTGCTGGTGGGAGTGTAAAATGGTACAGCTGCTGTGGCTAAAATAGTTTAGCAGTTCCTGGAAAAGTTAACCATAGAGTTACTACAAGATCCAGCAATTCTACTCCTAAGTCTATACTCAAGAGCATGGAAAATGTATGTTCACACAAAGACTTGTCCACAAATGTTCACAGCAGCGTTATTTGTACTAGCCAAAAAGTCAGAACAACACAAATAGCTAGCAACTGATGAATGAATAAACAAAATGCAGTATATATCTAGAGTGGAATATTATTTGAGCATAAAAAGGAAAGCATTTCATCCTTGTCATAGCATATTTACATACACGCTATAACATGGGTGAAACTTGAAAGAAAAATTATGCTAAGTGAAAAAGAAGTCAAACACAATATTGTATAACTTCATTTATACAAATGTCCAGAATAGGCACATCCATAGGGACAGGAAGATTAATGCTTGCCAGGGCTAGGGTGAAAAGGGAATAGGTAGCTACTGTTAACAGGTATAGAATTTTTCTTGGGGATGATGAAAATTTTCTGGAGTTAGTGATTTTGGTTGTACAATTGTGATCAGGTACTAAAAACCATTGAATTGTATACTTTCAAAGGGTGAATTTTAAGGTATGTAAATTATATCTCAATTTTAAATAACAAATAAAGGGACATATTAATTTTTAATGGACAATACAATACTATCATATCTGGGGGTACACACGTGGGTGATAAAACTACAAGGATACACAGGGAAGTTATTTTGTAAAGTCAGGATAGCTGTTACTTGTGCGGGGAGGAAGGGAGATAGAAAGGGGCATATGAAGGGGTTTCTGGGGAGACGAAAGTTCTATTTCTTCACCTGGGAAGTAGTTACAAAGGTGTTTACCTTAGAATAAAACACTAAGTAATACTTTTGCTCCATGCGGTCTTCTATATTCATCATCATTCAACATCAAAAAGGCACATTGTGAAAGTACAACTATGACAGCAAAAGATTAATATTCTTACTTTATCATAATTTTTTAAATTAATAAGGAAAAACTTAGCTCAATTTAACAAGTGAAGATACTTCATAGAAGACCTACAATGGCCAAAAAACTGATTTTTTAATGTTCAAGCTTGCTAATTATCCAAGAAATGCAAATTCAAGCAAAAATAAGAATGTGATCAAATTGGAAATGATTAATAAAATGACAATACCTAATGTTGAGAATGGACAGAATTGGTGTTCTCCCACAATGCCAAAGGGAATCTGATTTGGAGAGTAATTTGGCAACATTTAATCTTTAAAAAATTTCAAAAAAACCTTTAAAATTATATGTATTTGAAATAGCTCCACTTTAAAGAA